TGACTTCGACTGCTGTGCGCTACCTGAAGCGTAGAGTGGAGAGAAGTCCCCGTGTGACTGCTGAGGAACTGAGAAAAGATTTGTCAGATGTGGGTACAGAAGTTTCAGCCCAGACAATAAGACGCACACTGCGTAATGAAGGCCTCCGTGCCAGAACTCCCAGGCGTACCCCCTTGCTGTCTCCAAAGAATAAGAAGAGAGTCGACTGCAGTATGCCAAAAGCCATGTGGACAAACCACAAAAGTTGTGGGATAGTGTTCTGTGGACTGATGAAACAAAATTAGAACTGTTTGGGCCCATGGATCAACGCTATGTTTGGAGGAGGAAGAACAAGGCCTATGATGAAAAGAACACCTTGCCTACTGTGAAGCATGGTGGAGGGTCAATCATGCTTTGGGGCTGTTTTGCTTCTGCAGGTACAGGGAAGCTTCAGCGTGTGCAAGGTACCATGAATTCTCTTCAGTACCAGGAGATATTGGATGGAAACGTGATGCAGTCCGTCACACACCTGAGGCTTGGGAGACGTTGGACCTTTCAACAGGACAATGATCCCAAGCATACCTCCAAGTCCACTAGAGCATGGTTGCAGAGGAAAGGCTGGAACATTTTGGAGTGGCCATCGCAGTCACCAGACTTAAATCCGATTGAGAACCTCTGGTGGGACTTAAAGAAAGCAGTTGCAGTGCGCAAGCCTAAGAATGTGACTGAACTGGAGGCCTTTGCCCATGAAGAATGGGCGAAGATACCCGTCTAGATCGCTGCAAGACACTTGTGTCAAGCTATGCTTCACGTTTAAAAGCTGTTATAACTGTAAAAGGATGCTGTACTAAGTACTAAGATTGATAATGTCACTTGGGGGTTGAATAAACTGATAATGCTGTGAGCACAGAAAAGACATTTGTGGTTATTTCATTATAACTGTTATGTTATATTTGTCTGACCTACAAGTGCCTCTTTAATGTAAATGTAAGCAAGATGACTGAATGATCAAAAGCAATGTCAAACTGGCCAAAACACTCAATTTCAGTGGGGGTTGAATAATTTTGGACACAACTGTATATTCACCCATCTAATGACGTAAGCCATTCAAAATTATGATGCAACTTCAGCTGCATATTGCGCAATTGATACTGGTGACCAATAGAAAATTGCATGTATACTGAGATGATGCAATATTAGCCTTTAATTGCATCACTTCACTGCATAAAAGCTGCAGTATCTGTAGCTGATTGTAGTTCGACAGCGTCTTTACATTTTCGTTTTATGCTTATATAGGCTACTCAGTAATGCCTCGAACTTGTGTGAATAAAGCAGATAATTTCTGCTATATCTGCGGTGAAATAACTTTTATCTCACATAAAAGGAGGATAACAGGAATGATTAAGAAAGCCTACAACTTGTATTTTGGCTGCAAGATAGGAGACCAGGACAAGAGCTGGGCACCACATATATGCTGCAATTCTTGTGGGACGGCACTGGAGCAATGGTTTGAATGGAAAAAAGGCATCTATGCCTTGCGCTGTGCCAATGATTTGGAGAGAGCCAACAGATCATGTTAGTAATTGTTACTTTTGTATGGTGCCTCCAACAAAAGGGCTAAATAAGAAGAAAAAAGTTATCTGTGCACTATCCAAATATTCCATCGGCAATACGTCCAGTTCCTCATGGAGAGGGGCTACCAATTCCTAAAGCACCAGAATCCTTCGTGGTTGAGTCAAGTGAGGAAGAACCTGAAGCGTGTAGTCATCAACCGTCAACCTCACATGACCCAGACTTTCTTCCATCCACACCCACTGAACCACACCTCATTACACAAGTGGAATTGAGCGATCTTATCAGAGACCTGGATCTTCTGAAGAACAAGGCAGAGCTTTTGGGGTCAAGACTACAACAGTGGAATCTCCTAGCAAGTGATGTTCGTACGTCTTTCTACCGTCATCGTCAGAAAGATCTGATCCCATTCTTCGTCCAGGAAGGTGATATTGCTGTATGTAACAATGTTCATGGATTAATCTCAGCCATCGGCGTATGCTATGATCCCGATGAGTGGAGGCTGTTCATTGATGCTTCAAAGGCGAGTCTTAAAGCTGTTTTGCTTCATAATGGCAATCAGCTGCCGTCAGTTCCAGTTGCTTACGCAGTTTCAATGAAAGAAACGTATGAAAACTTGAAAGAGCTTTTAAGGTGCATCAACTATGATGAACATCAATGGTCGATTTGTGGTGACCTGAAGGTGATTGCTATCCTACTTGGACTTCAAGGTGGATATACTAAGTACTGCTGCTTCCTCTGTGAGTGGGACAGTCGTGCGAGAGAAATGCACTATGCCAAAGAGACTGGCCATTACGCCAGTCATTGCAGCCTGGAGAAAAAATGTTAACTATCCAGCACTTGTAGACAGCAATAAGATCTTATTACCTCCATTACACATCAAATTGGGATTAATGAAAATCTTTGTTAAGGCAATGGACAAGAATAAAGCAGGTTTCAAGTACCTGATTAGCAAATTTCCAGCACTTAGTGCTGCAAAAATAAATGAAGGAGTCTTTGTTGGGCCACAGATTCGTAAACTTATTCATGATGATGAGTTTCTTTCTCTGTTGCGTGGAAAGGAAAAGGCTGCCTGGACAGCATTTGTATCAGTGACATCAAAATTTTCTTGGAAACAATAAAACACAAGACTACAAGAAAGTGGTAGAAAAACTCATCCAGACTTACAGAAATCTGGGTTGCAACATGTCTCTAAAAATTCATTTTCTACATTCGCATCTGGATTTTTTCCCACCAAACTGTGGAGCAGTGAGTGATGAACACGGAGAGCGCTTCCATCAAGACATTGCAGCTATGGAAAGAAGATATCAAGGTAAATGGAGCCCATCAATGCTTGCTGACTATTGCTGGACAGTTGTAAGAGATAGCCCTTTCCTCGAATACAAGAGAAAAGCCAAGAGAAGCAAAACCGACACAAACTGAAGACAAAACTAGTGAGAATCCTAAGTATTAAAATGATTCAACTTAGCTTATGGCTATAATTTTTCTTGGTAATCCTATGCAATATATTATGCCATTTAGGCTTTGTTATGTAGTCAGTATCACTTGCTTTATATTTGTGGAAAGACATCTATCTATATAATTATTGTGCATTATGTAGTCATTACGCCTATAGTAGAAAACTTTCCGTTTACAGAAAAACTAGAGCCAATTGACAAATTTCATTGTTATATTTGAACTAAAATACTGAAATAAAAATTTGTTGAACAGTGTAATCGGCAAAAGTGGTAGAAATGATGAAATCAAATTACCCAAATATTTTACAGAATCCCAGGTTCGTAAACTGTGAAGCATGATAGGGCTCAAATCCAGAGGGCGCAACTTAGGCGGGAGCCAAAGCAATGTAGTTATGGAAAGAGGAGCACAGTTGGGTAATTCCAAGAGTACCCATAACGGGATATCTGTCATGGCATGAAGCATAGACAACTGGGAAATCTGAGCTGCCAAGTAGTATCTAGAAACATGTGGAACTCCCAAATCTCCCTGTAAACTATGAGTATACAGAGTGGCTCTAGATACTCTGGGACATTTATAAGCCCAAATAAAATTGAGAATCCGGCTTTGCAGTACACAAAGAAAAGACGCAGGGACCTGAATAGGGAGAGTGAGGAAAAAGTACAGGATCTTCGGCAAGATAGTCATCTTGACAGCATGTATCCGGCCAATCCATGATAAAGAAGGAAACTGCCAAGAATGGAGCAGGGAAGCAGGGAAGTAACAGAGCGCAGTAAGGGGTAATAATTAGCCGAAAATAAGGTAGGAGGAAGTAAGTGTAACGCCAAGATAAGCCAGAGAATGGGATGCCCAACGGTAGGGAAAATTGTGTCTGCAACCGTTCAACCAGGCAGGGAGTGTAATGTTCAATGCTGTGGTTTTAGACAAATTGATGCGCAGGCCAGATATAGTCGAAAAACGGTCCAATATGACCTGGAGTTCGGAATCCATTTCATACCTTTTGGCATTCATTTTATATGTTCATTGGTCCAGGTGGATTCAAAAAAATGTAGCAGTTCTTTTTTCAATGATTGCTAAATATTAGTAATTGGTTTCAATATTTCTGGTAGATTTGTTATTCATATACTAAAACTACTCAATATTTTGGACACAATGGGATAATGCAAAATTCAGAGACCTTTAGAAAACCTTAGAATTACATTAGACTATGGAACTGAACTAACTGCCTGTGACAACTGCAAATTCAATTTAAATCACAACTTTACCTGAATCTGAATTATCGACCGAATTCAAAAAATTTAATAATTTCCCCATGGGCCTGAACTAATATCTCATCATGTGACATTATCGGAATGAAACAAATAAGGTGAATGAAATCATTAATTTCATTATACCTTTTTTGGACTCATTGACATTTGTTAATATGTCCATGCAGAGATTCATATACATCCAAATCTCCGAAAATCAAATTTGCGTCTGAAAATCGATTAGTTAAGAAATGAAACGCAATCTAATGTGGGACTCATGTATAACAGAAAGTGGATATGGCTATCAAGTCTTTCACAATCTGCAGAGTTGAGCAAAATGTGGGCCACATATTAACCACTTGCCTATAGGGCACTTATACCCCCTTCCTGCCCAGGCCAGTTTTCAGCTTTCAGTGCTGTCACATTTTGAATGAGAATTGCGCGGTCATGCAACACTGTACCCATATGAAATTGTTATCATTTTTTTGAGACAGATAGAGCTTTCTTTTGGTGGTATTTAATCAGCTCTGGGTTTTTATTTTTTGCTAAACAAACCAAAAACAACTGAAAATTTTGAAAAAAAAAATGTTTTTTTCTTAGTTTTTGTTATAAATTTTTGTAAATAAGTGATTTTTCAACTTCACTGATGTGTGCTAATGAGACTGTAGTGATGGGCACTGATAGGCTGCACTGATGGGCAATGATGGGTGGCACTGATGGGCACTGATGGGCACTGATGAGGAGGCACTAGTAGGTGGCGCTGATGGGCATTGACAGGCATCACTGATGGGCACTGAAAGGCAGCACTCATATATGGCACTGATAGGCAACACTGATAGGTGGCACTGATAGGTGGCACTGACTGGCACTTATAGGCGGCACTGACTGGCACTGTTCGGTGGCACTGACTGGCACTGATAGGCACTGATAGGCGGCACTGATGCCCACTGATAGGCGGCACTGACTGGCACTGATAGGCGGCACTGACTGGCAGCACTGATAGGTGGCACTGACTGGCATTGATAGGTGGCACTGACTGGCACTGATAGGTTACACTGAAAGGCAGCTGATAACCGGTATTTCCCTATTTACATGCAATCAGCTGTGATTGGACACAGCTGATCATATGACCGAGCCAACATCTTCGGCTCTTTCCATTGATCGATGATCCGCTGTGTCTGAGGGATACAGCACACCACTGATCGCAGCACTGCACACTCCCGGAGCCGCGCACGCGTGGTTAGAGTGGGAGGACATTGTATGATGTCCTCCCAGAAAGAGAGAACCACCTTGCGCCCGTCATTACCTTATATGGCGAGTGGGAAGCGGTTAAAAACCATTTATAAAATGTGCCTTGCAGAGTCAAACTGCATTCTCTCCTGATGTATCACCTGTCAAATTCACATGACTAGCTCTCCTCCAGTCGCAGGGCTCTTTCTGCTATTCCTCCCATTCTGGCAGTTTCAGAGTTGGGCTCAGCTAATGGTCTGCTCCAGTATGCGAGTAGCACCATGTATTCGTGTATGTGCATATTTTTCAAAATATAAAACTTTCTATTTTGAAAATGTTGCCTATAAGGGTATGCATAAGTATACATTTGTGTTGGCACATAGTGTTTTCTGTAATACATTCCTATGGCAAAAATATGTTGCAGCTATGGCTTCCAGGCACCACCACAACAGACGTATTTTACACTGTAGGCTTATATACTGTACTTTTTATTTTTTTTAAGCAGAAGTATGACTGTGGTAAGGTCATACTGCTGTTCTGAAAATCAGCTCCTAAGTATTACAAAATAAAAGCTTGGGCCTTATGACAACCAAAGGGGAATGATAGTGTTTGTACCAGTGTGTGCATTATGTATATATGCATTTAATGCATTCTTGAGTGGTTTCAAGTATATAAAGTGAGAACAAGAGCATACATTTTCTATAAAACAAATGCACTAATACACATACAAATGTACAGTACATTTGTTTTTTGCACTGACCATTCTTTTCAAAGGACCTTTTACAAGTCTATATATTTGGAGATCAAATGTATAAAACTAATCTGCCAGGGTTCCAGACATGAATTATTAGTGAATAAGACATATCACACATTTAATAGAGTAACATATAGAGCTTAAAGTGATTTTAAACGCTTACATATACCCATGTGAAGTGACTGGCCTCATGTGACACACAGAGATTAAACAAATCCTCCTACATAAGTTGTGTTTATCTGCAGTCTTCTCTTTTCTACAGCTGTTCAAAGTCTGAATTTATAAAGCTTATCCGTGAGTTCTGAAAAAAGGGGAACAGATGTTTCACTCTGCATAGCTCAGTGAGGAGAGCTCTGAGAGCTGATTGGAGAGAAGAGACACATCCCCTTCTACACAGCTCAGCGGAACAGACCTGAGGCTGTCAATCTGCTGGAGGGCCCCTCCCCTGTCACCATTTTTCTATTAATGTCAGAAAAACCTGTCAACAGTGATTCATGCTGATAGCAGAGGAATGAAGCAGCAGGCAGAAATGACACTTAGTGCTCTTAATTGAGACAAGTATACACCATAAAGGAATATGCTTTGTTCCTATTTCATATCTGGAGGTGTACAACATCCAGGTATGTGGATAAGGGGGGGAGTTGGGAGGTTTAAACTCCCCTAGAGCACCCTGCCTGGAGCTGCGCAGCTCAGCCTTACCAACAGACAGCCTGTGCATCAGAGCCAGCTGACATCCCCCGCTGTGCCGCTGCCCTATGTTGTCACTGTCAGTGCTAGCATGGGTGGGATAAGCATGTGATTGGTTGCTAGGACATCGGCGGTCCTAACAACCAATCACGTGCTTGCCCTTCCCCCAGGCTGCGACATTCAGAGGAGGAGAAGGGCGGTAAGGACAAGACCTCCTTCTTCCAGCTTGTGTAGCTGCAAGGAGGAATGAGATGGAGTTGGACCCTGAGGTAAGGGGGGTTAGGGGGATCCTGATGTAAGGGCAGGGGGAACTTTGGGGACAGAAATTAAAGAGAATGGTGTGACGGTCGCGGTGTCAGACCCCAGCCCTTCTCACCAACATGTGACCGAAGGACTAGCCAATCTAAAATCGCGCTGTCACGTGCGTAACAATGCCACGCTCAGCTGCACCCTGCACAAAGATTTTGCAGTTAATGGACCACAATCTATGTACCTGCAGCCTGAGAACTATTGTTACTGGGTCAGGTTAATTACGCAATTAACCCTTCACACTGCCAGCACTGCCTTTTTGTAGAGAAAAGGAGGAAACTCGCCAATATTAGCAATAACACTATGATGTTTGAATAATCGTCTGTATACACACTGTCACCTCAGACAGAGGTATATAGAGGTTTAAAAACACACAGTAGTGCTCTTCAGAGACAGGGATTCTTAGTTTGCATTAAAGAGCTTTAGAAACAGTTCAACGCTTTTCAGAAAATAGGATTTATTACTAAAAAGGTCAAAATGGTGCAATAAAAATATTTACAGAAAAAGATGTAACCAATATATATATATAAATACAGAGAGCCATACCACAACAGAGAGATAACAGAAAGAAGTTTAGAGCCGTAGAATACTTGCCGTCAGCCTTGGTTTAAGCAGATCAAGTTTCCTGAACAAAAGGGTACCGTCTCCCAAGTTGGTTCCTGATGTTAAAAAGGAGGTCTCTTCATCTTCCTGCTCCAAGCATAACAGCCTTTTTCTAGGAACCCAGCAGGGTGTCTCCTTAAAGCAAAGAACCAATCGCCTCATTTTGGGAGGGGAGTTTTAGGCGGGGAACTTAGGCTAGGACCAAATCCCTCTCAGTTTATATCATGGTCAATAACTTTCCCTAGGTGCATGTAGCAGCCTAGCCACTAGTAGATTAATATGCAGAATGATATCCTGAACGTCCCGACATCAAACATGCCATATTTCACTATTTCAGCTAGAACTGTATGGCTCTCTGCTGTCCTGTAGACTTCAACTAGGGGTGTAAGATATCAGGCGACTTGCATTAAACTGAGCTATCCGAATATATGCTTTGTTCGATTGTAATTATTTCCTATCTCCAGATATGAAATTATATGGAAAAGTGGGTTTTAAATGTGATGTCTGTTTTTACGGCTATCCCGGGAATGCGTTTGAGGTCCAGTGAAGGACTGGTTTTTGGCTTTACAATTAGCTTCAGAGAAAGAGTCTCACAGTCATACTGGGCCCAGGCTAATTGGGGTTTATAACCATGAAGCTACCCCGCTTGGCCTGATGCCTGTGATCTCTCGGCAGACATACAGACCACATTCCTGAGGGAGGGGGGATTGGAGGGAGAGAGATTTATACAAGATGGAGGATCCTTAGCAAGATGGATGACCTAGTCCACCTCTGTACGTACAATTGCTACAAATGGGCTCTAGGGACCCTGATGTAAGGTGGGGGACTCTGAAGACCACAATGTATAGGGGGACCCTGATGTATTGGGGAGACTTTTGGGACCCTGATGTAAGGGCAGGGGGGAACTCTGGAGACCCTTATTTAATGAGGAGGATCTGGGTCTCTGGGGGACCCTGATGTATGGGGAGGGTCTATGGGTGGGGGGGACTTGAGCCCATGATGTAAAGGTGGGCCTTGATGTATTGGGGGGGAATCTTGGGACCCTGATGTAAGTGGTAGGGACTACGGGGACACAAATTTAGGGAGAGGGGCTCTGAAGGACCATAATGTAAAAGGAGGGCATATGGGAACCCTGATGTAAGGTGGGGGGGACTCTGGAGACCATGATGTAAAGGGCTAACCCTGATGTATTGGGTGGGGAGACTTTTGTGATCCTGATGTAAGGAGGGAGGACTCTGGGGACCCTAATTTAAGGAGGGGGATCTCTGGGACCCTGATATAAGGGGATGGCCTATGGGGACCCTGATGCACATAAGGTGGGGGGACTCTGGAGACCATGATTTAAAGGGGATCCTGATTATTGGGGGGGGCTTTTTGGACCCTAATGTTGAGGGGGGACTCTGGGGACCCTGATTTAAGGAGGGGAAACTTTGGGGACCCTGATTCAAGGGGAGGGGTTGTGGGCACCCTGATATATGGGGGAACTTTGGGGATGCTAATGAAAGGGGGGTACTCTTATGTAAGGGTAGGGACTTTAGGCACACTAATGAACGTGGGGACTCTAATGTAAGAGAGAATTCTGGAGACCCTGATTTGAGGAGGGGGAACTCTGAGGACCCTAATTTAGGGAGGTGAGACTCTGGAGACCCTGATGTGGGGGGGGGGGGACTCTGGGGACACTGATGTGAAGAAAGAGGACTCTGAAGACTCTGATTTAGGGAGGGGGGACTCTGGGAGCCCTAATGAAAGGGGGGACTCCTATGTAAAAGGGAACTCTGGAGATCCTGATATAAGGGGGATGACTCTGGGGACACTGATGTGAGGAGGGGGGACTCCAGGGACCTTGCCTACAACCCACTGCTCAGAGTCATCTTTCACAAACCTCTTCCACCCAGGCCCAGCCGCCAATATTAAACATAGGTAAGTGACTGCAGCCTTTTCTTATGTTTATTTATTTTCTACTGATACTGTCAGCCCTCTGACTTGGCACCACATGTCTGTCCTCAGTGCCCTGGCCCAACATATCTCCCAGCCCTAGTGCAGGTACCAAGATATGGTAGGCAGGGCACTGCGCAAACACAGCTTTTTATAACACATATTCTGGCTGAAAGATCAGAAAACCAGTACACTGCCACAGTATCATGGTGCTCTTTGCACCTGTTCAGTAATCAGGTGGAAAAAGCACCATATTGTGGCAGGTAGTGTACTGTTTTTTTCAATATTTCAATCAGCATATGTGTAATAAAAAGCTGCGAGTGCACTGCAAACCACAATATGGTGCCTTTGGCAATGCTTCCAGTGTCTTGAAACAGTATTCATACCCTTTGAAACCATTTATCATTTTCATTCCACTTCACAATAATGTGCCACTTTGTGTTGGTCTATCACATTAAATCCTAATAAAATACATTTACGTTTTTGGTTGTAACATGACAAAATGTGGCAAATTTCAAGGGGGAGGAAGACTTTTTCAAGGCACTGTAGGTAAGATGCATTTTTCCAGTTTTTTTTTACCTTGCTAAAAAATGCAAGAAAAATATTTCCCTTTAAATCCTATGAGACTCTTCATTACTGTGCTGCGGCTGGGCTGTGGTGCGTTTTGAAAAGTCCTGCATGCTGCTTCTTTGGTGTGCTTTTCAGAACCAAACCAAAAATGCATCTCTCCATTGAAAAG